CCCCCCCCCCCCCCCCCCCCCCTCCTGGTGAAAGGTGCTATAGTGTGGTTTCCTTGGGAATGCATGCAGCTCACACTCTTGCTACTTGGTTGCTGTCATAAGCTATTAGAAAGAACCTTCCCTGGCATGAAGACATCCCCTAGATTGTTTGTAACATTGGTAGTTTAATCGTTGTATGATAGTACTCATGAGGGCAGTAATTCCTGTGCAGGCTGAAATTTATGTTATCATTTACTATCACCATTTTAACATAGTATTGGATTATCAGTCAATCAAAAGAAATAACTGACTTCTCATAGAAGAAGTTCGTTTTCCCACTGTCCCCTCTAACTCACTTAATGAATCAATTTTGTCTGATTGATGGTAGAAGTAATCATTTTTGTGTTATGTGTGTGTGTGTGTACGCTATTAATTCATTCATTCTAATTGCCTGTTCTTGGCATGCCGATGAACGCATGTGGTTGAAAAGTAACTCTTCCCAAAATTTTGACCCATCCCTTTTTATTACCACAGTTGGAATGTGGTTGTGCTGCAGTCCAAGTCTTAATCATTTGTCCTTTATTAGAGGAATATTTTAACCTGCTAAAAATCTTTTTCTCACTGATTTTCATTTCTTTAGTTTCACAATTAAGATTTGAATGCATGCTGATCATTTTGATAAATTACAATTTTCTTTTAAATTGCTCTATTACATTGAAACTGTTTTGTTCTCATCGCAGGCTACAATACCGACCTGTCCTCTAGAAAAAGGACATTAAGTCACTCTGAAGATGATTCATGTGACTCATTTAGAAGCAAGAAACCAAATGGATTTCCTGAAATGCGGAGAAATAGCAACACATCAAATGCAGCCATTGTTACCCAAACTGACAGCGGTCACAAGAGACCTGCAGAAGTAATGGAAGATTTAGACCGCAAAAAGTTAAGAGTGTGTGAGGAATCTCGTTCAGGATCTCCTTCAGGCGATTCTGCTGAAACCGACCAGGATGATACAGATAAACAAAATATGGAAGAAGAAAGGTTGTTGAACTCACCTAAGACAATACCTGAACGAATAAGAACTCCTGATTGTTTTCGGGACCTTGACTCTCCAATTGGAAGTGCTGATGATAAGACTGAAACAGCCTCTGTTTCAACAGACTTACCATTTCTTCGCAAGCTACACAAGAAAGAATTGTCAAAAATGAGTCGCAGTGTATGTATGAAACATTTTTTTAAATACATGAGATGAATTTGTTCTTCTTCAATTTCGCACTTATTATATTTTCATAATTATTAAGGATTTGGAAGAACTTGTCGTCCAAAAGATATGTGAAGCAATTACTGAACGAAGTATTGTTGGTGACCTTCGCATCCGTTGCCAAGAACTAGAAAAACGTCAAGAAAAAGAGCATGAGAAATTCAGTAAATTACGTAAACAGGTCAGTTTGACTACTTAATAAAAGTGCATATTTGACTGTCAGTTACCTTTTTAACACTTGTGGTTCTTGTAGATGACTGAACTTGGATTAGTTGTGAAAAAGTATATGGAACAGCAGAGTAAAAATCCGGCTGCCAAAATAATTAAGATAACGCGATCTGTTGGTCTCCAAGTATGCCAAAGCATCAAGCATGTAAGAATAATTTCAAAATTTTCTACACTTACATAGAATTTGTTCCTGTTTTCTTAATTGTGTTTTGTTTCAGGTGCAGCCTTGTCCAACAGCAGTGCGCACACGGTTGGCTCCATCACCAAATTCTAAAGTGTCACCACCCTTGAGCAAACCAGCTCCTGCCAATCCATTAAGACCTGACTTGTCTGGTCCTGAAATATCATGTCAAGTTGTGAGTGTCATATTACCACCTGTCAATAAGTAGATGTCTTCTTATACTTTTATTCAGTCGATCTTTAAATTTTGCTTTTAAAACCTCTGTCTACATTTTTTCACTAAGTTGTTTATTATTAATATTATGATAATTATCACTATCATAATAATAATAATTATTATTATTATTATTGAATAATTTATTCTATAGTACTTATGTTTGTGACTGATGTATATTTTTTTAATATTGTTTTTCAGAGGACTCCTGTTAAATCATATAGAAATTCTTCTACTAGCCCCCGTTCAAATATTGTGTCCTCAACTGATCCTCCATCATTGGTTCCAACTGGATCTCAAAGAGTGGAGAAAGTTGTTGTATCAGTGCCAAGTAAACCACCATTAACACCATCGCCTCGACTTCCAGTCCCCACTCTTCAACAACTCTCAGTAAGACCCTCATTTATTCTTCTAATTAATTTTAGAAGTCTGTGTTTACATGTACCCTCAGTATTACTGTATTTATCTGTCACTTTTCTAGGGAGCACGCCCCAGGTTAAACATTCCTACCTCAGCTTCATCTGCACCTCCATTAATAGCTACATCTCAGCCAAAGTTACAGTCTTCTCCAATTAGGCAGAGCCAACCTCAGAGTACAAATCGTCCATCTGTTGCAACTAGTAGTGATGTAGAGGTTATTGATATAATTGACAATGACAAAACTAAAAAACCAGGTATGCAAGGTAATTGCCTGTAAGTTATTTATTGTTCTTGTTTTTAATCTAAATTATAATTAATGTTTTACTCTTTTTTGTTACACAGCAGGCGTTCAAATATCTGTTACCCAGCAGGTGCAACAGCAAAAACAAGCTGCCAATGCAGCTGCTCAAAATTTAGCTACAAATAGTGGAATGACAGTTCGTCTTATATCACCCACGCAGGTTTCTCAGGTACTATAATCCAGAACCCATGTCTATACTGATGTGTCAACACATATTTTTAATCTATGTTCATTTCTTTTAATAACTAATTTTCATTTTACAGGCTGGTGTTCTCTCCTCTGGTTTCCCACAATTAATTATGAGTAATCCGTCAACAGGGGGTCCACAGAAAATGATTCTTACTTCATCTCAGGTTAGTTGAACATGAGAGTCACAGTCACCCTATTACTAATCTATTCATATTGTTTGAACCTATATTAATTAAAATGAACATATAATATGCTGTCCTTTTTTTTTGTGTTTTTGAAGGGAAGTCCAATAAGAGGAAACTTGAAGCTGGTTGTGAAGGGCCAGCAGGGAAATGTCATAATTCCTTTTTCATCTAGTTCTGGAGTTTCTGCCCAGCAAATGCAACAAATTTTCTCAAATGCTAGCATCAGTAACAAAACCCCCCGACGTCCAAATTTGACACCTTCACGATCAAATAGTTTCAAAAAACGTTTTTAATCGAGTTGACGGGATCCCCCACCCCTCCCCGCCCGGTTGTATCCGGTTTTCACCTACCCCTCGCTCGCCCTAGCGACCGGACGATCCTTTATGGATGGCCCCCGAGGAATAGCGGTCCATTTCCTTTCTCTAAGAAGAATGAAACAATGTCATGCCTGTTATCCCCACCGTTTTGGCACAGGGCCCCCCCCCCTCCCCCTCGTTTCTTGTCCACAGTGTACTTCGTTGTGCGGCAGTGTGAGGGGACGTGCGCAAATAACGTAACTATTAGGAGGTGCAGGGGAGGGGGTGGTAGTCCTAAGTCGCAGCTTAGGCTATCTCGACTTAGCTTTAAGTGACTCTCTCAATTTGGGATTTGGGAATGGCATTGTGCTTAAAGCTGTGGCAGACACTCTGTACTGCTTCATACTAGGCGTCTCATTTTCACTATCAGTCGTTCCTACTTTTCTACGTCAGGTCGTGAGTCGTGGCGACAGACCGAAGCGATCCCGAAGAGGACCCGAAGGCATTCGGCCTGTTGTCGGCTCCTCCGAACTCTAGCCGAAGGCTACTGGATACTTCCCGAACACACTACCACAAGTAGCGCAGGCGCACTGGCACTGACCGTCGTCCTTTGGAGTATCCAATGACTGGATCTTGTGTATCCATGCCTTTTTCTGGTGGCCGCGAGACCCCAAGCCCGAGACTGAGACTCGGGTGGTGCCGTCGAGACTAGTGCCACACCTCCCATCAGTCCGTACAGTTCATCTGATTCGTCTAAAACTTGGAACGTAGCTCAGTATAGGTTATAAAGCGAGTCACTATCTTTTTGAGCACTATTATCTTCCTCCAGCAGTGACAATGATCAATAGGAAATAGGAAGGTGTGTATTTGGAGGAAAATGTTAACAATATGAGAAATAAATGAAGATGTAATGGGCGGACGCTGTTAATTTCAGCGGTTTTCTGAATTATTAGTTAATTTTACTCGAGGTTGGAGACACTACATCTCTTTCTTTGCTTCGTTGTGGATGTATTTGTAGCCTTTACAGTTAATATCTATCTTCAACAGTACTCATGGCCCATATATTGAGACAGCTGTGCACTTAACCTTTCTTTTGAATAAGTAATGTTAAAATATCCTCTCAAAAATATAAAATGTTATATACTATCTATCCTGTTTTGTGTTTCAATTTGGTTGGTTTACTCTCAAAGCATTATTTTTAGAAGATTGTGAGACAATTTTTGTATTTTTATGCTTTAAAATTACAATAATGCTACAGATCTGTTTTTTTAAACCACAGAAGCTGCAATCACTTTGGTTCTGAATGTGTGCGTCCTTAATTTATTTGATTTTATTTAATCTTAAAATTTATGATTACCTTTTTACCAATACCGGTTGTTTTTAAAAGTAGTTCTGATCTTGAACATAACTACTTTCATGTCATTTAGTCAAATGTGAGTCTTGTATAACATTTGTCTGTTTCTCTTTGTTTCAGACTGCAGAACAATATAATGTCAAATTGAAACATACCATGAAACTGTCACCAGATATGGGAGAAGAACTAATGTCATCATCATTGACTAATGGTGCCAATCCTCCAGCAGAAGTCTCACTGAAAAGTGGGAAAACTTCTGACAGTTCAACTGAAGAAAATTCGAGGGCCCCTATGTCTAATGGCCAGAATGGCACTAGTAACAGTGTTAATCTGTCTAACGGCAATGTATCACCTGACCATCCCACCAACCATAACTCAGACCAAGACATGATTGGATTTGAAGTGGAGTCTTATAGTGAAATAAACTCCCCTTTTTCTTTGGAGGCACATTCTGAAATTGATTTGGATAAAGAAGGAAGCATATCTGAACTTAAAATTACCAAGTGTGTATCCGAAGACCAAGACTCGTCCCATTTATCAGATGAATTTAATTTAAGATTGTCAGATGACGAAGATGGAAGTGACATTGCAACACACAGAGTTCGTCGAACTTCAGAAAATGAAACAGTAACAAGTACCACAGAAGATTCCTGTGACCTCGTCACTCATGAAGACAGCAGTAAAAGCTCATCAGGTAATGTTCAACTACCAACTGATTAATATATGTGACCCCATCTAGCATGAATTTTTTTTGTGTGTTTTTTTTTTTTTTTTTTATTTTTTTTAAATGTATATATTTAACATGATTTGTTCAATGAGGAATTGGGATCTATCTTTCTCAAAACTTAACTTTCACTCTTGCTTGAGATACAGGTCTTAAACTAATCAATTTACTTGGTTTCTTATATTAAAAGTGGAGAACTGGTGTTATCTACATGCCATCCAAGAAATATATGCATAATTTTTTATTTTTTTTAAGTAATAAGAACATGCATGCGTGCACTGCATATATATCACACACACACACACATACACATTTTTTTTATTATCTGTGCAAACAGTTGAAGTAGATGTGTGTTCTCAATTTTCATTCTCACTAGTAAAATGCATATGCATCCACCCTACTTCCTCTTTTTTCACCCTATGTTGTGGAAACGACCCTTTTTAAAAACACCATCAAAATTTTCCCATACGTTCGTCTCTGTCTTTCACTGTTTGGAAATATGTTGAATTGTTGACTACCGTTTTGACAAGCAACCGCTCCCTTTTATAAATGGCTTCTTTTACTTTTGAAACTTAAAAATTTTACAATATTTCCAAATGTTTCATTTGAAAACCGACGAAGTTCTGATTTGAAACCATTGCTTGGTGTAAACTTATGGTATGAGAAATTAAGATGTTGAAATTACAGTACGTAAGTTTTGTTCTGTGCCCATTACTATGTATAAAAGTTAACAAATTGATTCAAATTTGATTCTAAAACTGTGTAGTGTACCAACCATTGGAAACATAGTTAAACAATCAATACATTATTTTGCTTTAATTTTTACTGTGTGATAATATTTGCCATTTCTAAGTTTACCTATTTTATTTATTTTTTGTTTTGCTAAACTAATTGGGAACTATTTGGAGAAACATATTTCTCTCTTATAGTACTAAAATCATGTAATGCCTTACAGCTCATAATGCTTCTGCCAGCATTGTAAATTTTTCCGTTCATATTTTTTTTTGTTTTTAAGAAATGTTCTCTTCATTTTCTGTTTATCACTTATCAAATCGTACTGCTTTATAAGATTCCAATAATTAGTCGTAATTTCAGGTTCTGGGACTTCTGAGGAGAATAGTTTGCCAATCAATGGTGGTACAAGACCTGCTGATGCTCCCTCCAACCTCCAGCTTGCGATTCAAAAAGATGACAACTGTCCGAAAGACACAAGTGATGGAAACTCTGATGTCAATAATAAAAATGAAACTCATATTACAACTTTGTGCAAGAACTCACACCATGACATGGCTTTTGGGTCAGCAGCTATTGATGAAGGAAAAGTAAAATGTTCTACAAGTATTGAATCATCAAGCTCTGTTAAAAGACAGAATGGATCAAGAGAAGAATCATCTCTGTTGCCAAGACCTGCTGTTGTTGAAGAGGGACCAGAATTCTCTGAAAAACTTGAATCATCAACATGTTTGTCTATTGAAGGACAAAATAAGTCAAATGTAGCTCCCTTGCTAGAATTAGCTGTTCAGGGAGAACCAACAGAATGCTCTGAAAAAATTGAATCATCTCGATGTTTGTCTATCGAAAAACAAAATGAGACAAGAGTAGCTGAATCATCTCTCTTACCCGGACCAGCTGTTCTTAATGAAGAGGAACCAAAATGCTCTGAAAAAAATGAACCTTCAGGCTCTTTGGCAGTTGAAACAGAAAATGAATCAAGGGTAGCTGAATCAGCTCTCTTACCAGAATTAGCTGTTGAGGGAAAAAAAGCAGAATGCTCTGAGAAAAGTGAATTTTTACCATGTTTGTCTATTAACAAACAAAGTGAGTCAAGGGTTAGTGAATCATTTCTCTTGCCAAGACCAGATGTTGTTGCTGAAGAGGAACCAGAATGCTCTGAAAAAAATGAATTGTCAGTCTCTTCAAATCTTGAAGGTGAAAATGAATTGAGGGTAGCTGAACCATCTCTCTTGCCAGAATTAGTTGCTGAGGGGGAAAAAACAGAATGCTCTGAAAAAGTTGAACCATCAAGCTCTTTGACTGTTGATAGACAAATTGAAACAAGCGTAGCTGAATCATCTCTCTTGCCAGAATTAGCTGCTGAGGGGGAAAAATTAGAATGCTCTGAAAAAGTTGAATTATCAAATTCTTTGATTGTTGACCAGCAAAACAAATCAAGGATAGCTGAACCATCTCTTGTACAAGAAGTAACTGTTGATGAAAAAAACCCTGATTGCTCCGATAAAAATAAATCATCAAGCGTTTTGACTGTCCAAGAAAAAATTGAAACAAGCATAGCTGAATCACCTCTCTTGCCAGAAGTAGCTGTTGGTGAAAAAAACTTAGTATGCTCTGAGGAAAATGAATTATCAAGCTCTTTGACTGTTGAAAGACAAAAGGAATCAATAGTAGTAGCTGAATCATCTCTCTTGCCAGAACATAAGTTAGAGAAAACATTTGATTCAAACAAAACAACAGAGCAAGGAAACGTGTCTATGAACCCAGATGCTGCAGTGACAAATAACACAGATGATGATGAAATGGAAGCTGAACTAGAGGCTGAACTTCAAGCGGAAATTGCTGCACAAAGAGAAAGTGTTAAAAACCATCTAGAGAAACCCATTCATTCTCAAGAAGATCAAAATGTAGACCCACCTGATGGCTCTGTGGTTCAACACACTTCTCCTAAAACTTCTGGGGAATGTTCAAAGAAAGAAGATAGTGACAAAAAGGTCAGCCTGCAATGTTCAGAAATGGCTAAAGTTCAAAATGTCCTGAACATAAAACATGAAGAAGAGAAACAAGATAGCATAGAGAAAAGTCCACTTAAAATCAAAGTTGAAACTAAATATGAAGATGCAAATGAAATGCCAAATATAAAGGATGAGCTAGGTTCAGGTTTTAAAACTGAACATAACTGTGATGTGGCAGTCAAAATGGAGTTGAAATCTGATGTAGAAGTAAAAGTCAAAATAGAACCCGGATTAGAAGCTGAGGCGTTATTGAAAGATGATTTAGAACTCAACTCTGTTGTTGATATTGATTCATTTGTAAAATTGGAAACTGAAGTGAAGATAGAGCCCAAACTTTCAAAAGAGGAAGAATCTAGCAACAATTCCAGCACAGTCACTAAACCTTCAATAGTTCACAATTTTTCTGATAAAAAATGTATTGATGAAGGTATAAAATTTACAAGCAATGTGAGCCCTTCTAATGAGTCAGCACTGTTTCCTCCTGAAGATTGCAATACCCAGACACCAAAAGCAAGTGATAGCAGCAGTGCACCTCCAGTGTGTACAAATGGCCCGGTGGATTCTGAAAACAAAAATGAATGTAAGGATGGATCAAATGTCAATACTACTAGCAAAATTACACATTCAACTACTTCTTCACATACTTCCAATGAAAATATTTGTGATGAAAATGATCCTATAAAGGATGGTGAAACAGACAAACCCATCTTGTCTTCCAAGGATGAAGTGAAACAAGCTGAAATGCCAGACTTAGACGATTCAGAAAGTAGACTTCTTTCACCAGATCCTGAGTTGTCATCTCGAGAAAATACTCATAGTGATGAAGAAGAAACGGATGATATAGAAGATATTCTTCTATCTGGTTCTAATGAAAGGAACTCTTTAAGTGATGATAATGAACTGAAAACAACTGGTAAGTCAGCCACAGAGCAGGAGCTACTTTCATTGAACGCTAATCTAGATAATGAAGACAATGAGACAAGATCAACACATCATGACCCTTCAGAAACAAATTCGCTTGCCTCAGACAACGATTTTGAATGTCAAGACACAGAACTGCCTGAAGATAGTGATAATTCTACCAGTGGTGATAATAGTGACAACTGTGACATAAATGAAAATGATGATTTTGATGCAGTCTGTGAGAGTGAGACTAATGACGGAGCGTTCCAAGAAGTGGAAAAGACTGATGATAATCAAGGGCTGAAAAGAATAAGCTCAGAATTTGATACTAACTCTATCAAAGTCCATAATTATTGTGATTCCACTGTACTTGATGCATCATCAACTGATGATATGGACAGCCAAGATTGTGCTAGCATTATCAGTGAAAGTAATAATTCTAAAGGTAATTTCTTAACACTCATTGGAACTCAATCTTGTTTGGGCAAACAGATAACAAATGCATCCCATGCTTTGCTTGTACAATCCCTATCATTTTTGACCCCCCCCCCCCCCCCCCCCCCCCCCCTCCTGGTGAAAGGTGCTATAGTGTGGTTTCCTTGGGAATGCATGCAGCTCACACTCTTGCTACTTGGTTGCTGTCATAAGCTATTAGAAAGAACCTTCCCTGGCATGAAGACATCCCCTAGATTGTTTGTAACATTGGTAGTTTAATCGTTGTATGATAGTACTCATGAGGGCAGTAATTCCTGTGCAGGCTGAAATTTATGTTATCATTTACTATCACCATTTTAACATAGTATTGGATTATCAGTCAATCAAAAGAAATAACTGACTTCTCATAGAAGAAGTTCGTTTTCCCACTGTCCCCTCTAACTCACTTAATGAATCAATTTTGTCTGATTGATGGTAGAAGTAATCATTTTTGTGTTATGTGTGTGTGTGTGTACGCTATTAATTCATTCATTCTAATTGCCTGTTCTTGGCATGCCGATGAACGCATGTGGTTGAAAAGTAACTCTTCCCAAAATTTTGACCCATCCCTTTTTATTACCACAGTTGGAATGTGGTTGTGCTGCAGTCCAAGTCTTAATCATTTGTCCTTTATTAGAGGAATATTTTAACCTGCTAAAAATCTTTTTCTCACTGATTTTCATTTCTTTAGTTTCACAATTAAGATTTGAATGCATGCTGATCATTTTGATAAATTACAATTTTCTTTTAAATTGCTCTATTACATTGAAACTGTTTTGTTCTCATCGCAGGCTACAATACCGACCTGTCCTCTAGAAAAAGGACATTAAGTCACTCTGAAGATGATTCATGTGACTCATTTAGAAGCAAGAAACCAAATGGATTTCCTGAAATGCGGAGAAATAGCAACACATCAAATGCAGCCATTGTTACCCAAACTGACAGCGGTCACAAGAGACCTGCAGAAGTAATGGAAGATTTAGACCGCAAAAAGTTAAGAGTGTGTGAGGAATCTCGTTCAGGATCTCCTTCAGGCGATTCTGCTGAAACCGACCAGGATGATACAGATAAACAAAATATGGAAGAAGAAAGGTTGTTGAACTCACCTAAGACAATACCTGAACGAATAAGAACTCCTGATTGTTTTCGGGACCTTGACTCTCCAATTGGAAGTGCTGATGATAAGACTGAAACAGCCTCTGTTTCAACAGACTTACCATTTCTTCGCAAGCTACACAAGAAAGAATTGTCAAAAATGAGTCGCAGTGTATGTATGAAACATTTTTTTAAATACATGAGATGAATTTGTTCTTCTTCAATTTCGCACTTATTATATTTTCATAATTATTAAGGATTTGGAAGAACTTGTCGTCCAAAAGATATGTGAAGCAATTACTGAACGAAGTATTGTTGGTGACCTTCGCATCCGTTGCCAAGAACTAGAAAAACGTCAAGAAAAAGAGCATGAGAAATTCAGTAAATTACGTAAACAGGTCAGTTTGACTACTTAATAAAAGTGCATATTTGACTGTCAGTTACCTTTTTAACACTTGTGGTTCTTGTAGATGACTGAACTTGGATTAGTTGTGAAAAAGTATATGGAACAGCAGAGTAAAAATCCGGCTGCCAAAATAATTAAGATAACGCGATCTGTTGGTCTCCAAGTATGCCAAAGCATCAAGCATGTAAGAATAATTTCAAAATTTTCTACACTTACATAGAATTTGTTCCTGTTTTCTTAATTGTGTTTTGTTTCAGGTGCAGCCTTGTCCAACAGCAGTGCGCACACGGTTGGCTCCATCACCAAATTCTAAAGTGTCACCACCCTTGAGCAAACCAGCTCCTGCCAATCCATTAAGACCTGACTTGTCTGGTCCTGAAATATCATGTCAAGTTGTGAGTGTCATATTACCACCTGTCAATAAGTAGATGTCTTCTTATACTTTTATTCAGTCGATCTTTAAATTTTGCTTTTAAAACCTCTGTCTACATTTTTTCACTAAGTTGTTTATTATTAATATTATGATAATTATCACTATCATAATAATAATAATTATTATTATTATTATTGAATAATTTATTCTATAGTACTTATGTTTGTGACTGATGTATATTTTTTTAATATTGTTTTTCAGAGGACTCCTGTTAAATCATATAGAAATTCTTCTACTAGCCCCCGTTCAAATATTGTGTCCTCAACTGATCCTCCATCATTGGTTCCAACTGGATCTCAAAGAGTGGAGAAAGTTGTTGTATCAGTGCCAAGTAAACCACCATTAACACCATCGCCTCGACTTCCAGTCCCCACTCTTCAACAACTCTCAGTAAGACCCTCATTTATTCTTCTAATTAATTTTAGAAGTCTGTGTTTACATGTACCCTCAGTATTACTGTATTTATCTGTCACTTTTCTAGGGAGCACGCCCCAGGTTAAACATTCCTACCTCAGCTTCATCTGCACCTCCATTAATAGCTACATCTCAGCCAAAGTTACAGTCTTCTCCAATTAGGCAGAGCCAACCTCAGAGTACAAATCGTCCATCTGTTGCAACTAGTAGTGATGTAGAGGTTATTGATATAATTGACAATGACAAAACTAAAAAACCAGGTATGCAAGGTAATTGCCTGTAAGTTATTTATTGTTCTTGTTTTTAATCTAAATTATAATTAATGTTTTACTCTTTTTTGTTACACAGCAGGCGTTCAAATATCTGTTACCCAGCAGGTGCAACAGCAAAAACAAGCTGCCAATGCAGCTGCTCAAAATTTAGCTACAAATAGTGGAATGACAGTTCGTCTTATATCACCCACGCAGGTTTCTCAGGTACTATAATCCAGAACCCATGTCTATACTGATGTGTCAACACATATTTTTAATCTATGTTCATTTCTTTTAATAACTAATTTTCATTTTACAGGCTGGTGTTCTCTCCTCTGGTTTCCCACAATTAATTATGAGTAATCCGTCAACAGGGGGTCCACAGAAAATGATTCTTACTTCATCTCAGGTTAGTTGAACATGAGAGTCACAGTCACCCTATTACTAATCTATTCATATTGTTTGAACCTATATTAATTAAAATGAACATATAATATGCTGTCCTTTTTTTTTGTGTTTTTGAAGGGAAGTCCAATAAGAGGAAACTTGAAGCTGGTTGTGAAGGGCCAGCAGGGAAATGTCATAATTCCTTTTTCATCTAGTTCTGGAGTTTCTGCCCAGCAAATGCAACAAATTTTCTCAAATGCTAGCATCAGTAACAAAACTAATACTGTGGCAACTGGGCGGCAACAACAGCAGCAGCAGCAACAACAACAGCAGCAGCAGCAGCAGCAGCAACAGCAGCAACAACAACAGCAGCAGCAGCAGCAGCAACAACAGTCATCAGTAAGTTCATTCCCTGGTCGCTGTATGCTGGTGAAACAAAATATCAGAATTAATTTTCATTCCCTCAACTACACTGTCACTTTATTTCCAGCTACATCCAGCACCTTTACCTGCGGGGCCACATATCCAAGCCAGCAACCCTTTGTGGAAACAAATTCCTCCCAGACCCAATTTGAAAATCCAGCATCAAAATAATGGTAAGGTCATATCTGGTACTCACTCAGACGAGCTATTTTGATCTGTTATGAAGGTATGCAAGGTTAAAATATCTACAAAAAAAAATAGCTCAACCAAAACATTAATTTGCAGGAATTGTTCTTTCATGGAATATGGCTCTGGGACCTATCTATGCTGACATAGACAGTTACCAGTTGTATGCCTATCAAGAAGGCAGCGCCCCTCCTAGTGCAGGCCTATGGAAAAAAGTCGGTGATGTGAAAGCTTTACCTTTGCCAATGGCTTGTACCCTTACTCAGGTAAATTCAAAAACATTTCTTCAGTACTTTTTCTCTTTTAACCACAGTTGGCTCATTTAATTTTATTCTTACAGTTTGTTGAAGGACATAGATATCATTTTACTGTTCGAGCTGTGGACAAACACGGGCGAGTGGGGCCCTTTAGCCAACAAGGAAGTATCCGATTAGGAAATTAATGTTAATATGGGGGGTAAATTCAAGACTGACAAGTGTTCATCAACCTTTTATAATGAAATAATATAGTTGGTTAGGTTGCCACATCCATGTAGGTGATTTTTAATATTTTAAATTATGCTTTTTATGTTAATATACTGGTGCAGTATTTATGATGTGTAGAATTTTGTACAATAAGTGTAAAGGCTTGTGTATCTTGTACAGACATGTATAAACTTTTGTAAATATTCTAATTAAGAAATAGATTTGGTCATGTGCATGTTTTTCTGTTTATTTGCAAACACTGACCTTGACATGTAAATAACTTCTCATTAGGATGGTAAAGAAAAGACAGCCCTCAAACTTTGCAGGATTTTTTTGATTTTTTTTTTTACAAACTCAATTTTTAAATAAATGCAGAATGCTTGCGACTGTAATGTTGGTTGCAAGGATGTTACCTCAAATGATAATGTTGCATTTTATTGATGACAAATGTACTTCCACTGTCTTATCTTCCACCTGACCAGATAGCAAAGGAATCTGAAAAATAGCCCCGGTTCTTGCTCACTAACATTAATCAGGTAAATGCACTTTCTGCTGGAGATCTCTGCATCTACAATTGCATTCTCGAGATATACATTCCAAATTAGGACGGGGGAGAAAAATAGTTCTGAAGAAGATATAACTTATAGAAGATTCGACCCTTGTAAATTCACATTGTGAGCATTACCGTAAAATAGTCGATAAAAATCCAAAACACATCTTACTACCTATTTTACACAATTCAAATAGCTTCCAAGATTTGGATTAATTTATTAACAGTAATTCATGCATGTTTGATTCACATATAATGTTGTGCCTTTCACACTTGATTTGACTGTGAGTCAGTCAGATGGTGAGATACGAGTTTGCTAAATACATCCTCTGTGCCCACCATTTGTGATAAACTAGACATTCTCATTGAAGAACAAGGCCAATCTGCAACACCAACATATCAATAATTGATTTCTATAACTCCAACATTATACAAACAAATTTGGAAAACAGTTTACTAACCTTGTTGGGCTGCATAGCAGGGCATCGCCAGTTGTACAGATAGTACTGCAAGTTCCCATCACCAATACCAAATTTGAGAGGCTCTAGAAACTCCTTGTTTTCCATCAAGTCCAAGGCATTGAACACATCAAAGCCCATCTGCCAGAAAAGAAGTATACAAGAATTTAGAGGAGTCAGAATAAGAGAACAAGTTGAATTTTGATGTCATATGCACAAAAAACTTGGTAGATGTTACGGTAAAAGCCCGGAAACCGGTAAATCCGGGGTTTGACCGGTCAAACCCCGGATTTACCGATGCTTTTTGGTAAAAGCCCGATTTGGGGTAGTGGATCCGAGGTTTGACCGGGAATATTGGTATAATCGGGCATTTACCGTGCCCAAAACGGTAAATGCTGTTCAACATAATTTTCACTTTCATTTTCAATTTTTTTATTACTTGTGTACTTGTTACTTGTGTAAATTTTTATTGGCGCCGCCAGTATCAGCAGGGGGTTCTTCCGTATCCGGTGCAGCTGCCCTTAGCTGCCGACTCTGCTGATGCTGCTTGTACGAAGGTTTTCCTACCAAAAATAATTCATTAATTTTTAAAAGTCATTTAAAAGTCACGATGTCAAGCCCTTTGGCTAACTACCTCCCTGAAACTAAACGTACCCTCACATGCAATGGTCATGAATTATTATTGGTAGGAAAACCTTCGTACAAGCAGCATCAGCAGAGTCGGCAGCCAAGGGCAGCTGTACAGTAAGTGCAGCTGCACCAAGAAGTGCAAGGGGGCAGTGTAAGTGCCAGAGTGCCGCCGCATACGGAAGAACCCCCTGCTGATACTGGCTGCGCCAATAAAAATTTACACAAGTAACAAGTACACAAGTAATAAAGAAATTGAAAATGAAAGTGAAAATTATGTTGAACAGCATTTACCGTTTTGGTCACGGTAAATGCCGCATTTACCGTTTTGGTCACGGTAAATGCCGCATTTACCGTTTTGGGCACGGTAAATGCCCGATTATACCAATATTACCGGTCAAACCCCGGATCCACCACCCCAAATCGGGCTTTTACCAAACAGCACCGGTAAATCCGGGGTTTGACCGGTCAAACCCCGGATTTACCGGTTTCCGGGCTTCTACCATAAAATAGACAATACATACATCACGAGCAGCAATCAATGCATCATTCATAAGATCTATCCAGCCTGTTTTGTTGGATACATTGTAAAATGAGTAAGCTGCTTTCAAAGTCTTGTGGACAGGATGATGCATCACAGTAGACGGCAGTGTGTAAAAACTAACAAAATCTAAAACGGAAAGCAATTAACAGTAATATAACGTACTGAACAACTTTTTAATTCATTTTTTTAGGTATGTAGTAGAAATTGAAATTACCTGTGAGCTCTCTGCCATTGTCAACAACAAAACTATCAACAATGCCATCCTGAGGTGCAAACCAGTGTCTGAAATCCTCTTCAGTAAAAACAGGAACCATGTCAAAGCGGCGTAAATACTAGCAAACAATAAGAGTGTTATTAAAACAATTAGTTACTAAATACAGTACAATTTTATGACCAAAAATACATTTGGCTCTCAAGATTTTACATTATTAAGAAAAACTCACATCCATAAGCAATTTATGTGCTGCTGGAATGTCACTTTGTCGCATCACTCTAAACCCAGGTGTTTTGGTACTTTCTGGGAGCTTGAACAATTTCAGAGTACGTTGCATAGTCATATTCCTACTAAGGTGCGAAAATTTGACTTCGATCAATTTCTTAGGATTGAGAGATCTATGCCAATATCGGCAAGTGCCTACAGGCTTGGGCAGAACAACTCCAGCTGTATAGACCGCTTGAAAGATTCCTTTTTGATTCACTCTCCTGGTGATCTCCCTGATGAGTACAGGGGCAACTCTTTTGCTCCTTAGTTTCTTGTGAACACACAAGAAATTAATTTCCACCATTTTTTGAGAACTGAAATAAAGACAAAAGGATTTAATAAAAAAATGTAAGTGTCTTTAAAAACATGTGTGTTAGAATTTACATGTGAAAAATTACAATTTTACTTACTGCTTATAGATGCTTAGTGTGGCAGGAATAGCACTTATGAATCCCACAAGACGGCCACTTTTCTCAACTCTCACTCCTACGTGCCATTCTCTTAGCCATCCTGGAGGCTGCAGTGCCCTGTCCAAGAAAAAATAAAAAAAATGAACAATTATTCAAGCAACTGTATGTGTTACTAGAATTTATAATAAGAACCAGTACTACGAGAATGACTAACCACTTGAGGAACTGTTGTTGATAATCAAAACGGAACATGGAGTCATCATCTTCCACATAGTTTTCGTTCAGAAGTGTATAAAGTTCAGTGAGAATTAAAGGCTCATCAAGATTGAGAGTATCCCAAACAAACCCATCAGGTAATGAAAATGGTGTAGGTCGAATTTCATCTGGGCGTCTGTCCGGTTCTATTGGTTCATTGTTCTGAATCTTCTCATCTAATTTTGGTATTAGAAAAATGAGATGTAGAAAATAAAAAATTAACTCGATTTAAAAATCTATGTTGATTTACCCATTTTCGGCACGGGTTGAGTGCTCCAAAATTTGTACTGCTTTTGCAATGCCTCCTCCGTAGTTTTTGCTGGTTTCTGTTGAAATGAGAGAACTTCCATTGCTTTCCGAATGTCCTGGAAAAGAGTTCTGCTTAGATCCTGTTACAGTATAGCTAGCCAAGTCATGACTGGCACAAGTAAATACCTGAATGGAAAAACTACGTGACCCTTGGGCATCACCATCTTCAAGATTTAGTTCTGCTGATTTATCAGAGTCTATTACTTCCACTGGCCCTTTCTTGTGACGGTTTCTCTTCTTCGCACTATATGACAATTTCAATAACAACAAAGATCAAAATTAAAACAAGACATAAGAAAATCCTATCAAATCAGATCAAAATTTTAAGTGATTAATAATTCATCACTGCATGCTAGCTGTAATAGGTTGATTACATCTCTAGATTAATGCATAGCGAAACCCATAATATGAGATTAAGGAACCCAACAAGTGAAATATAATTGGGAAAAACTTACAAAAAAATTATGTACCCTGTCATTAACTAATTACCAATTAAAGACTAAGAATCAATGAAATTGACAAAATACATTCCTGACAAGAAATCGAGCTCGAATCAGATGTGAGCGTAAAAAATCACTTTAAAGAGTTGTACGTAAATGACGAGCAAAATTTTGTCGGTGATGGTACAATACAATTTTGAGGTTAGAAAGCCGCAAGAGATTTTTTATTGCCAATGCCAAATACAACAATACATTACCTCTTCGATTTGGATTCAGGTCCATTTTGCGACTCCTTGTCAACGTTTTTCTCTTCCATATTCTTTTAGAAAAGATTTCAAAGCCTTAAAAAAGTCGCAGTAAGGGGTGGTAGGACCAAATCCACCCCAGTCTTTCTCCAAGTTCACTCTCCGCTCCGGGGGCCGCTCCTTCCTCCGCTCTCCGCTCCGAGACCGAGCCAGTTCAGGGTCTTTGCTACTTTATCAAAAGGCCTCGAGTCTTCTGCTGGTCACATCTGCAGACGATGCACTATGCTCTGTTTACTGGTTACTGTTTAATCTGATGACAATCGGCCAAGAATTGATACGACCGATACGTTTAGTCAAATAAGTTACCGATATGATTTGATGTTTTGTTTTAATTGTTTAAATTTCAAAAAAATAATAATTAAGGGTTAGCTTTCAATTTTAAAAATTGTATCTGTTTAGGTAGGTGCCTCTACCTGTAGCACAAGGTAAAGCCAAGCTAAGCCCACCTACTGATCAGAAATTTTAAAGCATAAAGTCTAGGGCGGTGAGGACTTATAATGGGGAAAAGTCTTCTAAAATTATGGAAAAATTATCGTCGGCGGTTTGTCCCTTGGATGGCAACCAATATCAAAACTTCCAGTAAACGAGAAGTTGCAGCATCAACCGACAAAGTAGCAACAGACGAAAGGTTGAAGAATGTTACCATGCAGTTAACTCTAAGTTTGCATAAAGAAATAAAATCATCATCTAGTGTTGATGGAGAAGCAGTCATGCTTAACACACTTGGATATAGTGTGAAGCGCTGCAAAAGTTGCATTAAAGATGCAGGGACAGGAGTGGTAATGACTTCGGGCTCTGCTCGAAGGGGAGACTTTATGGCATTTTATCCTGGAACTCTGTATCGGCGCTTTGAGCCACTATTCTTGCCGTCAATCGGAAATCATTTTATATTGCGTTGCGTCGACGGAATTCATATTGACGGAAATGACCGCCTTCTTTCAAAAACCATATTTCGGTCTTGCGTGAACCGTGACTCATTTGGGCATTATCAAGCAGCAGATATCACATGGACAACACAGAAACCCGTAGTGCCCTGGAATATAGGACAATATGTGAATAATAGCACTGTTGAACACCCTGCTAATGTAGCTTATCAGGAATTTGATATATTGGATTTTCCCTCTGAGATGGATTACTTGTTGCCGAATATATGGTACAGTGGATCCAGGGGAAGACATCTACGAACAATAGCTCTTGTAGCAACTAGAGACATCCAAAAGAATGAAGAAATATTTTCCGACTATGTTACCCTTGTTCGTGATTTGTAAAAATGTTCTAATATTTTCATCTATGACTAGAATAAAATATTTTTGTTACAAATTCTATAAATAAGAAGCCATAGCAATATATAAATTTAAAAAAATATCACGTATTTTCAAGTTTATTTCTCTGCTTTTCTTTTTCTCCAAATATTATTTACTAAAGAAGTGATGTTACAGGTAAAGTACGGGTGTCTGGAAATGTCCAATTTTGCTGATGTGGATATAGCTTGGATGCAACTCGGTCCTTTTACTATTGCATTAAATATATTTCCACAAATTTTGAAGGCATTTTAGTGCTTCTTTACGGGTCTACCAAAAAATGGTGGGTCCTGATGGGTTTTCTCCCAAAAGAGTCTGAAAAATGTGTGAAAACATATATATTGCATTCTGAAGTACCCATTTGAAATGATGGGCGTGATGAGCACTGTTGTGTTCCATTGTGCGGCCACCTTCTCACCATGGCTTCACAAATTGGCAACTGCACGATTTTAAGTCCAATTTGGGACATATTCCCGTACTGGGCCAAGGAATCCGGACTTTCCCTAACACCTGGACTTTAAATGTAACAGAAGATAACGTGAATAAGTAGAAGACCGAGGTCGTTTGATCTTGAGAAAGATCTCCTTCTCCTGAGCCGCCTGAGAAAGTCCCCTGCGCGTAAGGTTTCAAGTTAGGCCGCCACCGCATCGTACGAACATACAGTGTTTGCGCGATATTTTCTTATTGTGAATTAATTGATTCACGCTCAACTTTTCTTAGAAATCTAGAAAATTTCTTGATTGTTTAACGGAAACCTGGTTTTATCATTTTCTGTTGCGAAATGGTCAAGGTTTGTACAGTAAGACCATGCATAGCATGCAGAAGTTGGCACGATTATTCGCACCGGCGCCGGCGCGTTGGTTTGTTTTGTTTTCGTCGGCTCTCTCGTAGCAGACGAATTTTTGTTAACCACTTTCGCGGTCGTTGTGAACTATTCGGCAAGGTGGATTCGTAAATCCGATATTTGATTCATGGTGTGAACACCTGCAACAATCATGTCTGATACTAGCATCAACTCTATTTTCATCGGAGAGGTAAATTACTTGATTGTGAAGCTTATTTTGGCGACAGCAAGGTGCTAGGTGGCTATGCATTTAACCTCGACACTTTCACTTACATTTCTTTTCGTATTTTCTAATTTTAAGAAATAAAATCGTATCACTATTTATATTTTTTTAAGTTTATTATTTTTTAGTTGATTTATTTTAAAAGTTTCTTTGTTGTTTTAGAAGTTGAAGCTTTTTGTTATCCTAGAGCAAGCATCGTCCAAGTCTGCATTAAAACAGAGATTAATTCAAAGCTGATAACAACTTTTTGTTTGATTGATTGTTTTGTTTTAGGTAGCATCGGTTCAAACTTATGGAGCCTTTGTCAAAATACCTGGTGGTCCTCACCAGGGGTTGGTCCATCGCAGTCAGATTTCCAAAGTGCATGTTCCTGAAGTATCAGATGTCTTAGCCAAAGGTGATCGTGTATGGTGCAAAATTATCAGCACAACTGTAGGTAGCTCGCCCATAAAAGTATTTTGTATTTGTTATGTTTTTGTATGTAAACAGTAACATGCAAAGCCCTTTGTAATTTTTTAACCACTTTTTTTTTTTTTTTTTTCTTTTTTTTTTAAATTTTTGTCTTAAAGGATGATGGAAAAATTGCACTTTCCATGAAAGTTGTTGATCAAGGAAGTGGAAAAGATTTGGATCCAAATGGAGTTCAGATCAAGTAAGTTTTACTCATTAAGTACACATTTCATTAAGTAAGTTCAATTTTTTACAAACATTACAATTTTAGGCTTGATGAACAGAAGCGCAAGGAATGGGCCCCTGGTGATAAACGGAAAACAATTTCACTCGATGCAGTTTTCAACACCACTTGTAGTAAATGTGGCACACGAGGACATTTAGGAAAAGACTGCTTTCAGGTATAATCCATTTCTGTCCATTCAGTAATTATCAATCATCTAAATGTTCAATGTTGTGATGATAATTTTCAAATTTCTAACAAAACAGGTTAAAGGTGGCAAAACATATGATCTCATTCCAGAGCAGGATGATTTGGCAAGCACTCATCGTGGTAAGACTGAGAGTGCTACACAGTCAGTAGAACTAGATGACAAAAAAGAAAGAAAAAAAGAAAAAAAGTTGGCAAAAAAGGAGAAGAAAGAAGCCAAGAAAAGAAAGAAAGCTGCAAAAAAATTAAAGAAGAAATTGAAAAAAGAAGCAAAGAAGGCTAAGAAGCTTAAGTCAAAGAAAAAGAAGAAACATTCATCTTCTGATGTAAGATTGTTTAAATTTACTTTTATTTTAAAAATTTCTGTTTTTTCAGCTGATTTTACTGCTTTTCTTATTGTATGTAGAGTTCATCTGACTCTTCAAGTTCTTCATCCTCTTCTGACGACAACAGTGACTCTGATAAGGATTCACATTCAAAGGAAAAGTCTCAGAAGCAAAGTTATTCCTCTCATGATAGCCATACAAGGTAAGTCTTTTGTCATAAATTTGAAATTAGATAGTTTTCTATGTTTTTGTTACTATAAATGCTGAAGTTGCCAATCAAATTGGTTGTATTAACTATTGCAATCTTTATTGTGCAATCTTTATGGTTTGTGTGTTTCAGAAGATCAAGATCACGATCACCTATCAGGGATGTGAAAAGGCCAAGAAATGATTCTCATTCTTCATTGGAAGATAGAAGAAGATCTAGAAAATGACACCCATACGTACCTTAATTTTCATCAATCAGACGGGTGAATTTCTTTCTTCAAAACTCGAATACGCGACCAGATCTCATCCCAGTCTAAGTATCCACCAATAACATGTCTTACTACATTTCCAGTATCCTCATATTTTCTTCGTCCATGTAGTAGCCTAATGTTATCAAATGTCAATACTTCACCTGTTGGGCAGATGTATTGTTATTTATTTAGTACTCTAGTTTTGCTACAGTGTACTGTCTCTTTTTTTTTTCCCCTTTGAAGGTGTGTTACCTTCTTTCATCTTATAAGTGACGCAGAAATCATTGCTGTAAACTGCCTTAATAAATTTATCCATTGCTTGGTACCAGGGCTTCACATCCTCAACTGGAATGTTGAAGTGTGAATCTCTTTGCGGTTGACTGAAATTAATTCGTTCAATTTCTCCAAATCTGTTTTCACTTTAACAGAAGTAGCACAAGATAATGCAAATATTAGCACATGAAAAATGAATTTACTTTTTATTGCCATTTAAAGTATACCTAATCACTGGAGCCCGGTGAATACTATGAAAATGATTTCCATCTTCTTGTCCTATGTCATTCCAGTCAACAATAGTTTGAGTCAGCACCTGGTATGAATTGGCGTCAACTCTTTTAATCCATTCTGCTACAGCAAGTGTGTCTGTGAGCAAATTAGAACCTCCATCACTCTCTGTTTGGACCAAACAGTGTAGAAGATTTGCCTTTGAAAAATGTCAATAGAATGATGATATTGAATAAAATGCCTAATTTAATTGCAATTTGTAATTCATTGATATCTTTGTTGATTATCAATCAAACATTCCATGTACTTACTCCAGGTTTGTAATTGTAGTATGGAAGATCAGTATGTAGTTGTAAATTTGCCGACAAATATGCCACATTGGTTGTGCCTGGTTTGGCTCGAACTGAGAATTCTTCTCTGAGACAGCGTAAAGACAAATTGACTCAGTTATTTAAGTTAATTGAAGTTAAACCATTTTTTAAAAGTCTCACCCATAGTGTGTTCTTCGAATGAATGCTACTCTCTCAGCTAGATTCCGTATCGTAGAGCTTTCAGCAGGTGCATTCTCAATTATAGATACTCCAAATGTGGCAAGATTCACTAACCAATTATATAGTGACTCATCACTGTCAGAAACAATAATGAACATCACGTCATTTCAGTCATAAAAATTAACAGTTCATTAAAATGATTAAATAAGAAATTTTCTGTTTTTGATGTGCAAGTGTGTTATACAATTGAAATCAAATCAAATCAAACAAACCTTTTTAGCACATCACTGAATTGGAATCGTGTTAATATATCTTCAAAAGATTGTGCTGTCCAGGTTTTTCTCGGTAGGCGATACATACTTTTTAGCCACATTTGCTGTGCTTCTTTTTGGAAACTATGTTCTTTCAACCAATTGATATTGAAATCGCTGACATGGCCATCCAACCAAATGATATGAACAGTATCCCTGGAAACCTTGGTTTAGACAACAGTGAATTATTTAATGCAGTGATTATTTAGTCCAAGTGATGATCACACTGCAATCGTGTACCTTCACTTCAGTAGGTTTTGAATTAATATCAAAGGTCTGCACATCGATTGTTCGTGATCGTGAATCGGTATGGAAACAAACACTGCATTGACAGTTGTCTCTGAGCCATACAAACGGGAACCTCATCTCATCAGAATGTGGGACACTTAAAACAACCGTATCCGACTTGTTACACAGGACTGCCTCTCCTAGAACAACCTGAACGTTAGTTTTCGGAAGCTGCATCCACCTATGGTAAACCATTCTGCTCGAAAGAGCACACCAACAGTGTTTCATCTGGCAAATCACCAACCTACTGTGGTCTTCGTGCTGCTCCAGCGGTGGTGGCCAAAGGGTTTGGCCAGCACCGCCACCCGCGTAACAGGCCACCACGCCTCCACAGCACCCGCAGCGCGCGGCCCCGCGCGCAGGGCCTGCAGTGCCAGCCCGCGCACCAGGGCGGGCCTGAAGGCGGGCCTTGCGACTAACATGACAGAGACGGACTTGGGAGGCGAGCGGAGAGGCACCGCGGCGTGCTGCACCGCCAGTGTGACCACAGCACATCTTGTTGGACCAGTCGTGGGGCCCCCGCTTCGCGCCGAGCAGCGCGGTGCCGCCCGTCGCGCCCGTCCCCGCGCCCCGCTCCCGCCCCCCGGGAGCACGACCAGGGATTGTCCGTAAATGATACCCGGGCCCGCGAACTGTCATCGGCGCGTGTGGTGGAGGAGGAACACGTCTGGCGCTCTCTGAACCATCGGAGAAGAGCTCCTTCGCTTGTACTTCCCTCACGCCGGATGAAGGGCGAGAGAGTTTCACGCGAGCCCGGTCTAGGATTCTCCCCTTCTGGTGCTCTAGTGAAGGATGTGGCGACAGGACATGTGGAAACATTGACTGGCAAGATTGCGAACAACCTCCTTGTTAATACCGAATTACCGAGTTGAACGCGATAAGGGGGGAATGAGTGGGAGAGGGGGGGGGGCCGCCGTTGTGTGTGACACTGGATGGATATCTCAGTTATCGGCGGGACGTCAGCTTCACATTGCTCTGCGCCCGGTTTTGTCTGACCAGGCTGATGAACTTTGCTCTTGAACTTTACTCTAAAGCTCTGTCGCTTCCCTGCTACTAGCTGTGGCATGGATGTCGTGTGTGTGTGTGGGGGGGGGGGGCCCAGGCAAAAAAGTCCAGATCTGGCCAAGGTCTGCCAACAGATCTGAACAGAGCAAGATCTACAGAACAGATCTGGGCAGAAGATCTGGTAATAACCAGATTAAAAAACTCAGATCTGGACTGGCATCTGGCTTAAATTTTTCCCCCAGATATTTTGGCAGATCTTCATTTAGATGTAAAGCCAGATCTGTTGTCTGTCTTAAGTTCCCAGATATGATCATGAAGTAGCCCAGATCTGGACTGTCGCAGATCTGGTCAAGATCTGAACGGTCCCAGATATTTTTCCAGATCTGAAACACAGATCTGGCAGAATAACCGGTTGATCTGTCGGAGATCTGGCTTGAAACAATTTTCGTTTGCTCTCCAGCTTGTTCGGCAGGTCTGCTTCCATGTATAAAACCAGATCTGTTGTATGCCTGACGTCCCCAGATCTGTGCGGAATAGCCCAGTTCTGGCCGTTTACAGATCTGGCAAAAGATCTATGCGCTGTCCCAGATATTGGCCCAGATCTGAAACACAGATCTGGCAGAATTCCAGGGCCCTAACTTGTACAACGAACACTTGCCTGCATAATTGCTATCAGATCTGTAGTCATGTCTGACTTATGGACGATAGGTAATGCAGATCTGACCATAGTGCTGACAACAGGTCTGTTCCTTTTTGTGAGAATTGCGGCCAGATATTAAACCAGACCCCAGATCTGGGCCAGAATCAGGTCCAGAAGGAATTGGTTGGGGAAAGACATCAGGATCGGACACAGATCTAGTAAGAGGCATCCCGTAGCCGAGTGGTCAAGGTAAGGGCTCCCCAATCAACAAGTCAGAGGTTCAACTCCAGGTAAGGTAAGTTCTATTAGGTGGCTCGGGCTGGGCAATGAGTTGGGGATATGAATCCAGATACTAGATAATAGCCTACTGAAAAGTAAATTTTGTATTTTGTAACTGCCTCTATCTATATCGGACCGCTTCCCAGACTTGTCTACTGACCAGTGTTCAGATCTGCCTATATATCTGAATTTGGAACAGAATCAGATCTACCGCCAGTACTGTGTATAGTGTCTGGCTCTAAACTGAGACCAGATCTGTGATTAAATCTGAAATTGATTGGTATATAAATACAGATCTGGTTCTGTATCTGGCCAGATCTGACTGAATAACTAAAAGTAGATCTGTGACCAGATCTGGACTTTTTTGCCTGGGGGGGGCTCCCTAATGTGACGCTATGAAACTAGTGCTGTTCGCGGACGCATCTTCCCTACTGTGCTCAGGCTGACACGGCCCCACCCTTGTTGCGCTCCAGCTCCATTTAGCTGATTTGTTCACGTCGTTCGTTGGAGAGAGAAGCCTGGTTGCGCACGCCAAGCCCACGGCAACCCATGGTGTAACCGGTGTAACGCGACGCAACAAGCAGGCCGCGCTTACAACTCTCCTTGCACGCTTTACAACACGCTCACAGCACGCATTACAACACGCACACAGCACGCTTTAGAACACGCATACATCACGCTTCACACAATATGCATACAGCACGCTTTACAATACGCATACAGCACCCTTTACAACACGCATAACTTACTGCACGCATTACAACACGCTTGCACTCCGCTTTACGTGCTGACGCTTACAACCTGCAGAGCAGAGAGACAACACGCATTGCCGTCACTAACCGCCCATCACAAGGGTCCCCCGAAGCTCTACGCAAGCCCCTGAAGGAAAGCAGCGGGGGAGCGGGGTATTGCGCCTAAAAGCACGACAACACACAACGGACTTATTGCGCATTTTAAAACAAATTCAGGCCTTCCCCCTCCCAGCTCCCTTCTCCGGACTTGCGAGTTCACGCTCCCGCCGGCGTGAGCTGCACCAAGCGTGTCGTGAGCGCGAGTTCTCGATTGAATTTAGCTAGGTTCAGTGATTATGCACTCACACCCACCCCCACCCCTACCTGCAGGCGAGGTGGGTCCGCCCCTCCAAAGCCCGCTCCGCCTCGCTCCGCGCGGCGCCGCCGGGCTGGGCCCCTGGCTAGAGTCCTGCAGGCCGGCCCCGGGTGCAGAACAAGGAGCAGCCAGCGCCCCCGTCGACATGCACGTCCTACCCGTCGCCGTCCTGGCCCTGGCCGCCCTGGCCGCAGTGGAGGCTGCAGCCCCGCAGGTAAGTGTTCTGATAGCAACTCAGGGCCAAATTGATATGTTGTTAACTCCCCACTATTTTCTTTTGTATCAGTAAAATGTTAACGAATCATTCAGAGTATTATTACTCATTAAT